ACAGTATACCTGCAACAGCGCCTGGCACGACTCTACCATCATTGAATAAGTGTCCGGATCAGGGAGCTCGGTTTCGGCGTCAGGAAGGTCAGGTTCGGCGTCCGGGAGGTTTGTTGTCACGCTAAAGATGTAAGGAATTAAGGTCACTGGATATACATATGGAAATAAGTATCCCTCATCGTACGTATCTATACATATAAGCGCAACATCAAACAGAGCTCGTTTCAATGCTTATGAAATAAATCGCACACTGCGTGAGTCTCAGCCAGCCACTGGCGGATCCAGTGGTGGGGCCAACGCCTCCCTGCAGCGCCCGAAATCGGCAAAAATTCGCGGTTTTTTCGTGAGGGCCCCCCTCTCCACTGGTAACATGGGATGCTGTATTAATTTATTTGCCACATTATTTACCTCTTTGGTGTGACACTGCGCTGCAGGAAGTCGAGCTCCCTTTAAGAGGGAGCAGTTGTCATTGGTGTCAGCCGCAGATCCGCTGGGCGCCCGCTTACGCTTAGCAGCGTAATATTCTCTTATATTTTTCCACCGTGCTTTTACGTCGTATACTGAAAAAAACAATGATAAGAACATGTAAGTATGATAACTTTTACATGATTCACCAGTACGTACTGTGAAATCTTCCGTACCAGGATTTGGCATCATGCATCCCGCAAGCCAGATAGGTAGGTATACTCACAAACTGAACAAAGCCGATTTGCTCGAAAACGAGGTACGCAGCATTCGTGCTAAATGTTAGTGAAGGAAGTATAATTCACAGGATAACAAAACCATATTTCAAAAATATTTATGAAGCTCTGTTTCATGGAAAATATACAAGTCTAATTATAATAGGTATCGACTCTTAAGACTTATATTAACCCTCGCCCGCACATGGCGGGGGCGTATTACCCCCCCCCCCCCCCTCGGCCGGCGCGTATGTAGAAAACCAATAGGTCCGGCGAGGGTTAAGGTTCAGTTTCATGGAAAAAGCTCACCTACGTAAAAATTGCAAAGCCATTGCCTCACGGTTAAAACTTTGTGCTGAGCTGGGAGGGCTCGGGCGCAGCAACTCCGCCGCCGCCCTAGCGGCGACCTTGACCTCCGCCGTTTGTTAAGGTTCCAAGGCCAAGCCGGCGAGGAATTGAGAGAGCTCGGGCCATCCCAGCTCGGCACAAAGTTCCACCTATGCACTGCCTACCTTCTCTGTTAAAGCAGCTACCTCACTCCACGCCCGCTTCTTCAAATTGCGCCGTCGGTACTCTGGCTGACGCGTATTTGGAAATTCCAACCTCGACGAGCATCTGTGGTAGAAAACCACCACTTTGGTAGGGGAAACTGCTGCTGTCTGCTACCATTTGCACTGCATGTGTCGCTATAGCTGCGACATCTATGCATATACATATAAATCGCGACATCTGTGTGCGCTGATTCTAGTTAGCGATTAGCTAGGGCACCAGGGTAGATCCAGACTTTCAGTTTGAGGCAGGGTCGGAGCCGGAGCTGGAGCCGGAGCCGGCATATTTTGCCCGGAGCCGGAGCCGAAGCCGTGAAACAATATAGCCCGGAGCCGGAGCCGGAGCTGTCAAAAAAGGGGACGACTCCGGCTCCTTTTTTTGAAGAGGAAAAAAATTATTGACCTAGTTCGGCTCAGGGTATATTGAGTGAAGGGTAGGACGAACTTTGGTAGGAATTTCTAGTATAACTACTAGAAAACCTACTATATGTGGTCGGGACTAGCAAAAACTTAGTTGAAACTAGAATATGGTAGCGCTTATGGTTGACAGTCATGACGCGCACGTGACATTCATTTCTTAAATCTCTTAAATAACAGGTTTTAGGGGCCGATTAGTGGGCAGATACATTCAATTAGCTATTGATAATTGATATTGATAATTGATATTAATAATTGATATTAAATATTAATTGATTGATAATTGATATTGCAAACATTCAAAAATCTACATCATTCAATTCTAGGCAAAATCACGCGGCGCTGCCAGGATTCGAACTCACGACCCTCGGATCCGTAGCCCGATACGCCACCGACTGCGCTACAGAGGACCGCGCGCCGATGATCGGAGAGGCGGATCGCGGGTGCTGGCGTGCAGAGAAATCTTTACCCTGTACGCCGTAGAAGATCGGCTGGGTTTCGTGAAAAATGGTAGAGGAATTGTCGAAAGAAAATTCATCGATCTATCATTTGAGACTAAGAACCATTGATTACTTCAAAGGTTGACCGAGATATCGCTCGCCGAAAACAGGCCATTTAACATGTAAATTAGAGTTGCAAAATTTCCCTACCGCACTACCGGTAATTTTTCACTACCGCAGGTTTATTCGTGGTATCTGGCATGTCTTGCCGGTAGCATGCCGGTATTTTTGATTTTGTGCAAAAAATAAATATCAGCAAATGATTCAAACTTTGGACACTAAGAGGCTCTCAAATTGTAGTAACAGCAATATTAGCCACTGCAAGATACATTTTGTGGGAGAAGTTCCATTGCTAAGTGTAGGCCCACATGGACCTCAGCATTTCACACAACTCACAGGCTTGGTTATAATTAGAATTATCAAGAATCTACTGTGGTCTATAAAAGGAAGAGTACTCATTCATGTTGCAAAGCATGATAAACTAGTAAGTCTAATGGTAGGTAGTACGTATATCACAATAAAATAAAATAAATTTTCATGACAACATTCCCTAGGGGAAAAGGCAGAATCACAACACCAAAAAAACACAATGTTTGGAAACTGGCCTTGAGTCCTGAGATCCTGAGATGTGGTCTGAGAAACTCTACAAAGAATTTGACACTGAAAATCCAGCTGAAAAGGTAGGTGTTAGGTAGCCCTAAGCCTGACTTTGGTCCCATAATTAAACGAAAATGGATTTGAACTGGCATTTTGTCTTATCTTTACAAGAAAACACATCATGCACGCAAAATGGACATAAAGTGGCGCAAACAATTAGACAACCAAGGATTTACTTTTACGATTCTCTCTCCCCTAATGAATGGATGTAATCTGATGACGTAATATTTATTCATTTACCCTTTTGGTTGAATAACCGAAGAGAAATAAATTTCTTTGTAGTGAATCACACTACAATGTCGATTTCATTATAATTTAATATTGGTTGGATAATTTTATTAATATAATCATTCACGAGGCAGTGGCTTGCAGTCGTTAAACATTTTTTTTGCAGCGTTTTAATCAGCTGGTGAAAAGCCTCTGTTATGGCGCATCTGTTTCGAAATCGATAACCTTGTGTTTGTTCCCGCTTGAGGTTGGAGAGGATGGAAGATATCGTTTTTATACATATTATTTGGTGACTATTCTCAGGACCAGTGAGTTATTAACACATTTTTTACATGATTCGTATCTTATTCACGAACCAGCAAGCCATAGTGGATAGGAAAAAGTACATGTTGATCTCGCTTCCTCAGTAAGGCAGATGGCCGAATCTGTACCTGTTTACCTATGTTTTGACCATCTAGATTTTAAACATTTGGCTGGTGCCTGCAACATTTTAGGAGAATATGGAAAAGTAGAACACCTGTGAAATGTAAATGTGATTACTGCTCACTGTCCAGTCTTCAAAAACACATTTCAGTAATTCAAGTCCTTTTTGTCCTCACCTTTTTGATGAATGTAATAGTTTTTTTGTAGGCAATGCTTGATTACAGGTGATATTTTAACAGTTATAGACTGGAATTGAGTTCAAAATTGTGGGTATTTGTGGGGCCAACTCAGCCAAAATCAGCCTGCTGGTATTTGTGGTTGGACAATGGATGGCTGTTGGGTGGGAGGGGTACTGAAACTGCCAAAATGTGGCACTCTTCCAGGGGTAAGCTAGAATCAAGAATGCAGGTTTTTTAGTATGCCGGTAATTTGGCGGTTTTTTTGCTTGGGGCGTGGTAGCATGCCGGTATCCCAGAAAATTTTTGTGAGGCGGGGCGGTGCCGGTAGCAGCCTTTGGGGAAAACTTTGCAACTCTAATGTAAACCCTATGGGCTGGTAGGAAATGTACGCCGTGGAGCAGCAGTGCTACCAACTAACTTCGGCGGGGGCCGGTTCGGCTTGTCAAACCGAAGCGAACTGCCTTGAACTTGCAGTTCCAGGCAGTAAAACATGCGGTATTCAAAATATGAAAATAACCTTGTTATGCAAATGCAGAAGCAACGTGCACCAATCCCATCTTCTTTTTTTCTGCCGGCCGTATTTAATATGTACTGAGTATTGGAGCCGGAGCCGCCGGAGCCGGACCATTTTACCCGGAGCCGGAGCCAGAGTCGGAGCCGTCTAAAATTTCCACGGCTCCTCATCTCTGGTAAGGGTGCGGGAACTCATGGCCGGCCCGATCCCTGCAGTCCGGTTGCTGAGCGGGGGGGGGGGGAGGTCCAATATGATGCCACGCCTATTGCCTATAGGTATATATGTATGTATTGGTACGTATTGGTATTGGTAAAGTTAAAGCTAAAAGTTATCAAACAAGTTTAAAAAAACCGACGCGGAGCGCTGCCATTTTTAAGATATCCGCGAAAAACAAATCGTCAACTTGATGAATCGATAAAAATCACTAACGTCTCAGGAGGCACACTGCTGAGTGCTGATACCAATACCTACATACGTTTATACCTATTGGTAATAGGCATGTCTTTTGTGGCATCATATTGGACCTTCCTCCCCCCCCCCCGCTCAGCAACTTTGATTGCCGGGGATCGGGCCGGCCATGAGTCCCCCCACCCTCAAACTGAAAGTCTGGATCCACCCTGGTGCCCTAGCTAATCGTTAACTAGAATCAGCACACACACGTCGCGGTTTATATGTATACGCATAGATGTCGCAGCTATAGCGACACATGCAGTGCAAATGGCAGCAGACAGCAGTAGTTTTCCCTACCAAAGTGGTGGTTTTCTGCCACAGATGCTAGACGAGTCGGAATTTCCAAATACGCCTGGCTGACTGGTATTCCACAGCACGGGCCTGCTGCGCACTGCCTCAATCAGATGGCCATCTCCGACCCGACTGAAAGCGTAGAAAAATGGTCAGTTTTGAACCCCGCCGGCTGTGCCGCTGTGACCTCGAACCGCGTCATCATTTCACCCCAAGACATCCGTCCTCTCCGAACAAGGGGTAAAGGCATGCATATTAAAAAGCTGGTGTGGAGAAGGATTTGAAGGTCATGAGGATGGATACGACGGAACGGTGTAACGCCAGTCATCTAATGACGTGATTACGCATCTTGGGTCGCCTCTGCCGGGAGACGCGCGCGCCATCTATAGGTGGGTTGGTTACCAGATGAAGTCTGCAGTCTGCACATCACGGCGACAATGTGTAGTGTACGCAAAGGTGGTTCCACAAACTGGCGGATCCGGGGGGAGGGGGCATCTGGAGCAAATGCCCCATCTCAGCCCCCCCCCCCCACCCAGCAGCGCCCGAAATATAAGAAAATTAACGGTTATTTCAGGAAAAAAAAAAGATCACTCAACAACTTTTATTAGGGAAAGCTTGTATCCTGCGCAGCAGTGCGTAAGGAATCCAAATCCACAGTTTTTTGAATTTAGAGAAACCTTTTTAGGAGTATGCCCCATGCAGCGTCAGACCGCCTTTCTGGACCTGCCAGTGGTTCCACACTGATCGGAGTGGACACCTTTACTCGACTCATTGCGACATGATTCAATATGGCAATAATTTAGACACATCTTGCCATGCATTTTTGTGGAGGTGAAACATACCTAAATAATTTAGCACCTGGTGAGGGGGATCGTTAAATATTGCTGCCAAAAATGCATTCCAATATTGCGTGTAGTTTTTGCGTATTTGTGTTTGAAGATAATTATTATTGACCTGCAGAACAATGTTTCAAAAGAGGGGCTGAATTGACACAAGAATCAAAAGCAGGTAGTTATGAAAATAGCAATAGCTTAATGCTCATGCTTACTTTATGGTACTTTACATTTGCGATGATAGCGGGCCATGATGCTATGCTCAACTACGTCATGTGTACTGTACTGTACTTAAAATTGTGTGAAACTGGCCAAGTCGACTAATGTGTCCGCCTTTGAAATGCTCAGGGGAAAGTCTGTGATCCAGTCGTCGTCCCTGTCGATCTCCTGACAGACATTTCCCGGTGGCCCTGACTCCTGTCGGAGTTTTAAGTTTCTTAAAGGAAGGGTGCCACCTTTTGGACACAACGCAGTTTTTACAAGATTAGCCTCACATGAACCTAAAAACCGGCTTCACTTACCTATGCTCGAGACGGTCAGCATTGAATCCGCACGTGAAGTTATCATTTGCGAGTTTTGCTGCCAGCATTCGGGCAGGCAAAAATATTCAGCACTATTTCCTCGTCGTGTTAAGGGTATTTTATAAAACATGAAATCAGCAAAGGTATGTATAAAAGTTATACTTTTGAAGCATGTTTTATCATTTTGAAAGGGTATATTTTTTATGGTATACACTTAAGTTTTAAAATTTTAATTGGGAAGTTTTTCTAGTAAGTTGCATGAAGGGTGAAGGGTTCCATAGATCTCTTAAGCATTGTAAAGGAAAAACCTTTACTCGACTTATTTGATGTTCTTTAACTGTTGGCAAATATGGCCAACAGTTACCTACTTGGTTACCTACAACTTAGTTCAAATCATGTTATCTTCTTCCTTTTTATTTGTTCATCTTTTTGTCTCAGTTGCGCCATCAATGCAAATGGCAGAATGATATGTTGCCATGACAACAGGATATGCCAGCCGTCCTAGCTGCCACATCAAACGACCTTGAGTTGTAGTGGTGATATAAACAACGATCTTTTTTTTTGGCCAATGTATTAAATGCAATGTTTCTGTTTTTTGTATATTGTGGACGCGCTAACCACGTCTAAAAATTCAAATAAGTAAAATAGATTCATAGAACAAAAATTTCGGAAGGTGGCACCCTTCCTTTAAACTTCTCGCAGTTCACGTGCCGCTGGATTCGGGTATAAGGCACGGTAGCTTTAGAGTGTTGCCGTTGGGAATTTTCGACGCGTACCAGATTCTGAGTGAAAATGTACCAAAACGAACCTATTTCGTACCATATGGGGTATGCCAATGTACCAAGTTATGTACCATTGTATAAAATACATCAAAACGTCATAGATCAGCAAGATTCTATATAAATTCCGGTCAATTTCTGTGTTTGGTGCTCATATTTGGATATATCAGGATGTGATATGCAACATCTGCTGTCCGTATTCACTTCATACTCGTAATATGAGTTGCTTTAACCGCATTGATGTTACGTAAGTCAGGCTAACAATAATTGTAACTTCTCATGCCTACAATATTGCTAAGGAATATAGTTATAGTTCTTTTTTTTCAACAGCGGTTTGGCTCCAAGTTGATTATCGAAGCTCTCACGTTAGTTTTTGCAACTTCAGCGTCTGACCAATTAATAATTTCTTACCAGTAAAATATTCAATTTCAAATTTGCTCGGTAAATACATGCAAATTGTATCTTCAAAAATTATCATACAATGATGACGTCACTGGTGGCAGCTGGCAGCTTATATCCCTACGGTGGCTTAATGTGTCGACGAATTTGAGGAAAATTTCAGTTTCATTGTTACCGAGGTCAGAACGGAGTAAATAATTCTGTCCATGGTAGTTATAGGTATTCTGGTTATACATTACATTGCAACTTCGACAGCATGACATCACTGTTCCAATGTTTAGTTCTAAAAAGTACGCATCAGCATGGAATTTATCGGGAATAAATCACATGTTAAAATAAGGCGACGTTCGATTTTCTCAAGCTCAGTTTTTGGTCGTTTGTACGCGTTTTACGTGCTTAGTCGAAAAATGTACTTGAATTCAAACCGGTTTTGAAAAAAACGAGCTACAGAAATATGTTTAGGAAGATGCTTATTTAAGTGGTCTTCCTGTTACAGCATATTCGTTTTAATATTGATTCTGATTGATTTTTGGAGGCAGAAATCTATAAATTTAACGTAAAAAGAAATGCTTGCGCGAAACCGTGAAATGTACCAGATTGGGGCCTCATTGTACCAGCGTACCAGAAAGTGTTGAAATGTACCAGATCTGGTACAATCGTACCATAGCGGCAACACTGACTGCTTTACCCGGATATTTCTTCCCATAAGGAATTCTGATGGGCACCGGTCTGTACTTGCATGAGGCGTGTTGCAATAGGCCATGAGCCATGCGTTGAGTTCCCTTTTTTCCAACTTTTTTCATCCGATCCTTCTGCGCGCGCTGCATGGATGACCTTGGCTAGTGAGGACATCATCTTCTCGGCCAACCCGTTCGCTTGAGGATGGCCGGGAGTTACAGTTTCGGACACGAATCCTGGCTCCGTTGCGTACCATTTCCATTCATATGAATTGAATGGTGGGCCACCATCGTGGATGACCACTTCAGGTACGCCGTGTCTTGCCCAGATTCCATCCAGCTGAGGTGTCACCACGTCAGCACTCGTGGAACGGACTCTCGTGACCTCAGGGAAGCGACTGTAGACATCTACTACCACCAAGCAGTAATGACCTCTCGGGCCACCGATGGGCCCCTTGAAGTCGGTGGCGACGGTGTGCCATGGTCTCGGAGGGAGTGGTCTTCCGACCATAGGCGCCGGCCGATTTTCCTTGCTAGCTGCAGTGCACCCCAAACATGGCCGAACGTATTCTTTTGTGAGCCGCCCAAGTCTGGGATACCGCTGGGGCGTGGGGGGGAGGGTACGACCTTCGATGTGCACGTTAGAGGCGCACGCCGATTGCTTCAAAACAGTATGCGATCTCAACTCGGTTGTTCGCCTAAAAAGTAGTAAGTTTTGGGCGAGGAACTAGTTCGTCGTCAACGAATTCAAGTTTTAGAGTCCCATAGCAGCCGACAAATTTTTCGTGTTACGATATTACAACTGAGATAGCAATCTCGATTCTCGAATCGGACCGCGAGTTCAATACACGTTCATCGAAAATTAGTGCAATTACGGAGTTATGGAGATTGGTAATGGTAATTACCAATGACAATAGTTTGCACCGAAACCCTTCCACGGTGGCTAGCAAGTCCACAGACCACACCCATAAGGCGAAACACATGCCTAACAAGCTCACCTTGAGGCCATCGCTGACCCGGTCACCTAGCCATACATGGGTGAAAGCCGGGTATCGCGTGGTGCAGACTGCAGAGGTGTACAGCCCTCTGCGCACTGCGTGGTAGGTATTCTTTTTCGACAAAACCGAGAATAACTCGAATACTATGCTGTCACTCGGAAATCGTAACAGCAAGACGCGCGAGGCTCCGTACCTTAGATTGGACTTATCGTGGTATAGATTTCCCATCCAGTTTGGCAAGAAACACCAAAGTTTATATTTGCCCCCAAAACAAACTTTTGCATTTTGCTGCCACACTAGGCGTATACTTTGTTTAGAGTGATAGACCCAATCGAAGGAGTGGAGCACGGCACATCTATGTGCAATGAGTTCCGACCCACTGATAACATAGTCTTTGAGTTATTGTCAGTTTTGTCGAATAAAGAATACCTACCACGCAGTGTGCAGAGGGCTGTACATATGTAGACATGGCCGAATTAAGTAATCGAAGAAGTGAAATTGACAAATTAAAATAAATTATAAAAACCGTCGAAAATCAATAAGACGAAATAAATAAAGACCCTGCGGTTTTTCGCAGATCTCAAAAACGGCAGCGCCGAAAAAAAGAATACCTACCACGCAGTGTGCAGAGGGCTGTTCATATGTAGACATGGCCGAATTAAGTAATCGAAGAAGTTAAATTGACAAATTAAAATAAATTATAAAAACCGTCGAAAATCAATAAGACGAAATAAATAAAGACCCTGCGGTTTTTCGCAGATCTCAAAAACGGCAGCGCGGAGCGCAGCCGTTTTTTGCACACATGTTTGTGCATCTTTTCCGCACACGTTAAAATTTCAGACCCAGGTCGCCATAGGTCAGGTCACCAGGTCACGCCAAGTGACCTCACCTCAGAAAAAAATAAGAATGCTCGTCAGAGCTACACCGATTGATCGATTGCCTTGAAACTTTCAGCGATGGATTACAGCAACATTGTCTATAAAATGTATATCTCGGAATTTTGATATCGGCGACCTAAGGTCAGGTCAATTTTGCGGCCTCTCCATTAATAAACCTTAGTCAATGGGAGAAAATTGAAAAGCGTCTGTTTTGCACGAACGCTATTCTAGACAATCTCAAACATCGAGATGTAGGTAAGATTGACACACTGAACCAGAAAATGGCAACTGTGACCCCTCGTTATGTCCCCGAGGTCATCTCAGGTCACGAACAGAATATAACAGTTTTTCGCTAATAACTGCTGATAGAGGCGTGCTAGAGCGCTGAAACCGCCTTAGATGTGTTCGGCTCGACGTTGCGGATCGACTGATATGCAACATGACCTTTTCCGGTCAGGTCATGACCTTGACCTGAGGTCAAATATTCAAGTTGACCTTTCAAGGTCAAATTATGGTTCATTCGACGCGTCTCGACGAAAGGAACACGATGCTGGCAAAAGTAATATCATGGCCCTTTTGAGTCAAAAGTTATTGCCGAAAAAACGCTTTTCGTAAAAACGGCTATTTTTTAGTCTTTGCCCTCTGGAGGCTAAACCGTTGACCTGAGGTCAAATCTGAGAACATTGTTCAGAAAGGTCTGTAAAAGGGCTATCGAATGCGCTTTTCCGCAGCGCTGTAGCTCTATCGGTTCCCGAAATAGCCGTCGGCAGTTTCCAAAATGTTGAAATAGTCAACATTTTACCTTTGGTGACCTCTGGTGACTTGCACCGGCCCGGCGCGGGTTAATCCTCGTGGTTAATCACGCGCCACAATCAAACAAACACACTTCTGACGGAATGAGGCAACCGCGATATGCACCGCCTACACATATACGTGCTTTGAACATCGATAGCATAGAGAAGCAGAGGGTAGGCACCCGCTATCCAGCTTGCTGGCACCTTCATCGTGTCTTCTTGTGGTAAAAGATAGGCCTGATTTAACCCGCGCTCTGCTGGGGGGGGGGGGGGTTTGAACACACACCCCCTTGTGGTTTTTCGCGAATATCTCAAAAACGTTTTTGGTACACCTTATCATACATCAATTCTACACATGTTGTGAAAATTTCAGACCAAGGTCATTCAAGGTCAGGTCACCAGGTCACTTGAAGTGACCTCACCTCATAAAAAGTTTCAATGTCTGTCATAGCTACACCGAGTGACCGATCGCTTTGAAACTTTCAGCGATTGCTAAGAGCAATAGCATGTACAAAATGAATATCTCAGAATTTTGATATTGATGACCTAAAGTCAGGTCAATTTAGCGACCTCACGATTATAAGTCAATGGAAGAAAATTGAAATGCGCCTCTTTTGAACGAAAGACATTATAAACACTCCCTAACACCGAATTACAAGTGTTTTAGACACACTGAACATGAAAATGGTGTCCGTGACCCTTGTTTATGCCCTGAGGTCATCTTAAGTCACGAATGGTATCTAACAGTTTTTCGCAAATAACTTTTGATAGTGGCACGCTAGAGCGATGAAAACGCCTTAGATGTGTTCAGCTCGACGATACGGATCGACTGATATGCAACATGACCCTTTCCGGTCAGGTCATGACCTTGACCTGAGGTCAAATTTTCAAGTTGACCTTTCAAGGTCAAGGTATAGTTCTTTCGATGCGTCTTGACGAGAGGAACACGATGCCGGTAAAAGCAAGCTCGTACAGGGCTTGGGTCAAAAGTTATTGCAGAAAAACTGTTTCCGAAAAAAATCGGCTATTTTTGCAGTCTTTGCCCCCTGCAGGCAAAACCGTTGACGTTAGGTCAAATCTGAGAGAATTACTCAGTTAATAGGGCTATCGAATGCGCTTTTCCGCGGCGCGTAGCTCTATTTGTTCCCGAGCTATGCGTTAGCTTCTTGGAAATTTTCGACATTCGACCTGGAAATCGGCGAAATTTTGCCTTCAATGACCTGTGGTGACCTGACCTTTGACCTGAACAAAAAATTGACCGAAGTGATTTCGTCATTATTTTTTACGTTCTTTCGAACGCCGCCTTCCGCGTATCGCTACGTGGCCCAGGAGCCGAGTTACAAGGGGGGGGGGTGTTCAAACACCCCCCCCCCAGCAGGGCGTAGAAATCCAGGACCCCAGCGCCCAGCCGGGCGCGGGTTAAAGGCACTGAACTCTTTAAAATTTAGATACTTGACAGAATTCTTACAAATTTATCATTTATGTGCGTGATGCATGCTGTTATCCTTGCCATGCACCTCCAGCTTATGGCTCTAGACTGCAAACTCGACAAATACAGATTCATTAGGAAGTTCGATGTTTGAACACATCATTAAAGTGAGTCAGTAAACTCAAACTGTGCTAACGTTTTTTTGTTTTACAGTGTAGTGGCATATGCTCATAATTGAATTACAAACATATTCAAATTCGTCGGCCGTGCATTAAACTGCAAAGCTTGTGAGCAAATGGAACGTGGTTTACCTTACTAGTTACTGACGTACAGGATAGGTTACATACCTACTAGGGATGTCCATCGGATATTTGGCATTTCAATTCGAACGCATTTGGTATTTTATTGGTACTATGAATCCTCAATAATGTAAATAAGACTGAGAATTTGGTAAAAAGCTCAAAGTTGGTATTTTCCTCATATTCCCAAGTCGGTTTGGCTTCGGTATTTTTCCATGGGCATTGTTGGTATTTGGTTTGGTATCGGTATCACGAATTTCCGTAATTGACATCACTAATACCTATAGTGGCCGTTGGATTGACGCCGTTTGTCTGCGCCCCCGGCAGCGGCAGGCTGCGCACGTGGCGCGGTCGACTGATCGTGGAGGACACCTCTGTAGCCGATAACGGCACCATGGTGCAGTGCCGAGCGGCCAGCAGCGTCACACAGCAGGCGCGTCACAGCCGGGCCGGCCGGCTCACAGTCGCAGGTCCGTGCAGCTGCCGCCCCGCCCCGCCGCCACGCCGCTCCGTGGGCCGGCGACTTCTGGCGCCAACTGTGCCCGTGGGGGAAAGCACACCCGACCACTGATCAGTGCTCAGTCCCCGGTTCTTCAGTAGTTCTCAGTTCTTACATAGTTCCGTAGTTTCAGTTGCTGGTAAATGACGACTGGTGACTGGTGACTGGTAAATGACCACTGGTGAAAGATTATACGGTTTACGGATGTGTGATGCGTATGCATGTGTGTTTTTGTCTGTGATAGCCGATTGGTATGTCGTGGATACAGTTTGCTCGCTACACGCGCGGCCTCCTACACCACAATATCGAGCTGCTGTTTCGTTACTGCACCACCCCTCAGTCAGTACTCACCCAGTGGCCAGTCGCCACCGTTGAGTGTGATGCGGTGCTCAGTCCGCCACCGCCGCCAGTGTGTGACGCCGCGCACGGTGACCTGCAGAGCCGGCCGGCCGGAGCGCGCCGCGGCCCCTGCCGAACCTGCCGCGGGTCGTCACTGTCGCCGAGGGCGCCGACGCCGAGCTCTACTGCCTCGTCACGGGCCACCCGCCGCCGATAGTCCAGTGAGTCCAGTCCACACCCACCGGGTGGGCTGTGTGAACTGCGGAACAAAGCGTACCCCGGGTGGGATGGGGTCGGTGTTTTAGGTGTTCTGCGTCAGTAGGACGGAGTCGCTATTCCGCGTCGCTGAGTCCCAGTGTTAGACCCTGTGGCAGCCAGTCCGGTGCTCTGTGGGCTGTGGCAGTCACTGTCGTCTCTTGTGGCCCGAGCCCGTTCCGTCGCAGCCCGCCCATGGCGCTGTATCCCGGCAGGTGGCTGGAGGTGCGCGGCGCTGAGCTGACGCCGCTGCTCCCCTCTGGTCGTGTCGAGGTCAGCGGCCAGCGGCTGGTGGTGCGCCGGGTCAGGTCAGGGGACGCGGGCGTGTACCGGTGCTCGGCGACCTCGGCGGCGGGCAGCGCGGCGCGCGACACGCGACTGGAGGTGAGTGTTTTTGTTTGTTTATTTGTTTGTTTTGTTGGGTTAGGCCCTTTTGATCCAATGAGACCATTTCAGAGCCGGAAGGATGATAGGATATAGGGGGAGACATTGGTCTGGGCATGCACCAAAGTGAGTCGCCGGGGCTGAGCTCGTCCAGAGGACAGGCCACCCAGCCCCAAGGCACTCACTGCGCCCGGCTACGGGGTGCGCTCCCTCGGGAGCAGCGATGCCGCTCCAAGGGAGCAGCCCGCATGAGATAAAGTTGCCTGTCCAGCCCGGAGGGGGGTTGCGGTGTGGAGGAGAAGGATTTCAATATCCTGAGGATAGAAGCACGGAACGGTGGAGGTGAGTGGGGCCAAGGCAGTATATGTACCAGGTAGAATCATCCCATTGCGCAGCTTTTCTGCGCAGGTGGCGGGATGACGTCACCGAGGGTGCACAGCCGGCCGACGCCGCCGCGGGACCGCTCGGCGGGCGCGGATATTGAAATGCAAGGGGAAAAGAGCATGGTCGAATGAAAATGGGCGCAAACGGTTAAATTGAATCGAGGTAAGTAAGGTAAGGTCAGGTACATTCAAGTTAACAGACTACATTCAAGCTGCGACTGAGACTACCGACGGGTGGCAGTCGCGGATATCACGGGACTCGGCACGGCAGTATGGGACCGCAGATTCGCCGGGGGGTGGCCGTCTGATGCGCCGGTGTCGGTCCTATGATAGATCGGTATATTACACTCAGAGGCAGAGCTTCGTACGACAGAGTGCGGCCCCCAGAGTCGTCAGTTCGAAGCCCTTACAGGTGCCGGTGTGGGGCTATGAAGTGCGCTGAAATAGAGTCTCAGGCTTGGCCCGGCATGGGACCCAATGGAGATCAACAAGACTATTAAGAGCTATTAAGAGCTTGTGCGGTGCCTTCAGTAGACCTGTTGACTGTAGGGTGTGTCACTTGAAACGAAACAAACGGAAAATGTGCTAAAAACTTGCGCATGAACTAGAAATGAAAGGCCCTGGCAGTAAAAGTTTCGAAAAATCAAAATTCGTGCGGCGCCAGCCATTTTTGTTTCGCCCATATATAACCCATATACAGTCCAATGCGCCTGAGAGTATATATGCGTTCCTTTCTACACAATCGTGTCCGTAATGAAAAATGGCAAGTGAAACGACGTTCTACACATCAATTGACATCCATTTAGCATGATTTCTAAAAATCGTAGCCTCAAGTCTCCCCAGGTCAGGTCACCAGGTCCCCTCAAATGACCTTTTAAAGGCCTTCGGTATCAAATGCACGAGTCAGGCCCGAATGTTTTCTTTATTTCCAGTAAAACCCGACCAGAAACCAATAACTACGCAGAATAAATGCTTGATTTCTCCAAGGCATCACAGCATAACAATGTCTTCCAATGTTACGATTCAGAAACACACGACAGGCAGGTAAAACTGGTAAAATGCGACCATTCCGGTACAAAGTCCCAGTAAGTACTGAGTACTCTGCTCCAAAGCAAAACACAACAGCTCGACAGTGCAAGCGATGTCAGTTCTTAGTTAGGAGTAGCAGTAAACACCGTTGAAAAAAACGGTGTTTAACTCCGTTCTGTGAACATTAACACTAAACAGGAACAGCATCTCGCTTTGTGGTAAAAGCGGGCAGCATGCGGCGGTGCCGCAGACGGGCAGTTATGAGCCCATGACGCGCCTTCTCACCCAATACTTTGGAGGACGCCTCCGTGACCGTACGGACCACTCGCTCGACCGCCTGTGTGTGAACAGGATAGGGGGGCACGCTGTGCGGGGTCGCCGCGACCGCCTCCAGCTCCTCGCCACTCAGCTCGCTCAGGAGTGGTGGCTCCGTCACCAGCTCCTGCTCCCAGTCAATCAACTCTGTGAAGTGTGTGGCTTCGAAGTTGATCTCTGGCAGCTTGAACGGCCTGACGCCCACCATCTGCCGCTGTCTGGCACCTGCTATGTGGTGAATGGCGTCTTGCCTCGTCTTGTCGTCCTCGTCAGCCACCATAGCAAGGAGCAGTTGCTCTGGGTGAGCCCAGTAGGCGTTTCTTTGTATCACTGGGCGGACGATCTTCTGGATTTTCTTCGGCAGTCGGCGGAGGAGCTCCACGCTGCGGTAAAGGTTCTTGGAGCCGAGAGTGCAGCCACTGTTCAGACGAATGGTGAACCACATCGGGATGTAGTGCAGTAGCAGGAAGTTCACCAGCTGCTTCAGCTCGGAGCTCGGCACCGCAGTTGACATGTAGAGGCGTAGGATTCGTGACCCCAGTGTCAGCCAGCGAGCATGGTTGAGCTCGCCTATCTTCCGCCTTGCTACTGCATCGGGAACTGAGCCACACTGGACGGCCCGCGCCAGCCGGTACAACAGCTCCTGGTCTGCGCTGAGCTGCTTCACCGTTTCTTCCGGCATCTCCTCCACCAGTCCAGCCATGGCAGTGAAGGCGACCACATCTTTCCGCCATACCTCGGTTTGGCAGCTCTTGCCTATCGGCCCGTTCCAGGATTTCGGGCCAGATGTGGTGCCGTCCAAGGCATGGAATACATGTCTCAGATTCAGTTCGTTCGCGTGGATCTGACACACGAACCAGTGAACGGCGGTCTCGGAGGCTAGCTCAAAAAGCCGGCACGCTCCGCCTGCTGCCCCGGTATTCACAGCAGTCCCGTCGCATCCGAGAACCTTGATTGTGCTGCGCCTGCCACCACCGCTTCCGGGAGGTCCCGTGCCGCTGCCGCTGCCGCTGGGAGGGTCCGTACCGTCGTGGCTGCCACTGGGAGATCCCATCCCGCCAACACTTCCGCCGGTAGATCCCGTACCGCCGCCGCTGCCGAGCGGTCCGGTGCTGCCGCTGCCGAGCGGTCCGGCGCTGCCAGCGGGAGCTCCGACGCCTCCCATGTCGCTGATGGGTCCCGTGCCGCCATCGCCGCCAGGAGTGCTGCTTCTCTCGTCCCCTCCGGTGCTGGCGGTACCGCCGTAGCTGTCGGGAGCACTGCTGCCTTCGCCGCCGTACTGTTCGCTGACCGCATGGAGTTCGGCCGCGAGGTCGATGGCTCTGCCAGACCGAGGCGTGAAGTGTTTGACGTAACAGCCGCCGGGCTCACTAAGCACCACTACGTGTTCCTCCGTCTCAGTCGTTGTTGGTCGCCCTTTCACCGTCCTGTCCTTCCGGCCGTCAAAGTAGAGGCTTGTCAGTCCGTCTCGCAGGAGGTCATCATTCTCTCTTGTCGTTTTTCTTCTCGCTCGATCTCTGGCGCGCCATATTTTCTTGGGGTCTACGGCAGTCTCTGCTCCCAGTCGGCCGGTGTCCTGCTGAGTGCTGGTAGGCGTTTATCAGCGCCGCCGCTGCACGGTTGGTGATGCCGTACCGGTCCGCGGCCAGTGCCGTGTTGTAGAGCTCCGTATAATTCCATTCTTGCGCCGTTCGATGATCAGCATGGTCAACAGCTACACTCTCGTCGGAACCGTCTTCGCCAGCTTCTCCATCACTACTGGAATCGCCGCACGACCAAGTGTCAGCGAAGACTTCGGCGGGCTGGACGCCACTGGGCCCCTGTTCCTGTCGGTCGAGAGCTTCCCGCCGCTGCTGACGAGTGCTCCTCGCTGCACTTGTCGCGAGGTCGTGGGCGCCGAGGGATAGCTGGCGGCTGCCACGCTGGTCTTGGACGAAGTGCCACTCTTCCCGGGGAATCTTGGCTTGTGCAGGGCAGTCACAGCGCTCGCGGACGGGACACTTACACTGAGCGATATCAAACAGTGCTTGAAGATTGTGGGTGCTTGGCTGTCCTCCTCGCCGCTTGATTGACATCTTATTGACGAGTCTCAGCTCACCATAGCAATCCAGCCTTATTCGTCTGGTCACGTACTTTAAATCATGTACAGGGATGCCTTCTGATTCCCACATGGAAATCACCTCTTGAGCAACATCCCGAAAAAAGGTAGAAGCCTCTTGATTACGATGAGCCGTTTTGTTGTTCCCTTGTAGCCATTTAACGTAGCTAGCTACATCGCCTTTAGTGGGCAGTTGTGTTTTCGGCAACGGAGCGGGGTGGCCGATAATGAAATGCTTACTTTTTGATCTCGTGACTTTCGGCATGTCATCTACGACCGTCAACTTATCAGTTACTACAAATAATCCACAAATAACCCAAATTATCCAGTTCGGTGCTACACCGTGTTATCGTCACGACCGTCACATAATTGACTCAAAAATTTGTTTGTTTACATCCAAATATATGGTCAAGAATATTTTAAAACTTTTAGTATGTAATCATCTGACGATATCTAAGTGTGTGATACTGCTTTCGATAATCAAAATATTTTAAATATCAATAATTGAGTAAATTTGATGTTGAAGTTATATTTTTTAAATAGATTTCGTGTATTTCCAGTACATAATATGTGAACAATTAATAAAACACTTGTGGTCTTACGGACTCAGGATCGTTGTAGATGGCGCTGCATACGGTTTGTCACAGATTGTAGATGTCGCCCCAGTCGAATAATCTAAATTTTGATTTCCGATAAAAAAAGTCGCGGCGTCGTGGAGAAATGCCTCTATGGGCGTGTTTTTATGTAGTTAACTTATTTTTAGGGTCATCCGCAAAATTTCCGACCATTTTCCATCAGATTTTCGAGAAAAACCTATCAAGTGACACACCCTACTGTTGAGCCTTTAAAGACCGGCGTGATGCTCTGGGATGCCGACGGGGGCCATTAGAGTCACCAGTGGGCGGCCATCGGATGTGCCGGTGAGCGGGCCTTACGAGTCGCTGGTATAAAGAAGCCCTACAGGTGCCTGTGTGGGGCTGAGAACCCTGGCGTGAAGTTTCAGAGGCAATTATTGGACCTTAGCTCAGCGAGGTTTAAGAGCTGTCGTGGTGCCTTCAGTAGCCTGTACATGTGCAACCCTTGAAGACCTGCGTGGTACTCTCAGACGCTGATGAGTGTCCTCAGAAGTCAGAATAGCCGGTGTGGGCCATCAGAGCTGCCAGTGGGCCGTGTTG